TATAAACGGTATAAAGATACTATCTAATACCACAGGATAATATCCTTGTACCGCTTATACCACTTAAACCGCAATACCGCAACAGTGGTATAAGACAGTATCCTTATACCGCAATACCACAACAATGGTATAAGATAGTATCTTTATACTGCTTATACCGCAATGGTGATTTAATCTGATTTTGTCACAAACAGATATTCTTTTAGGAAATTAGAATTTACCATAAGTTGTTATTCTCCATCATATGCTGTGGACTATCATATGCTGACCAACTTCTACGCTTTTGGCTCTCATAGAAACTAAGATTTGATGAGCATGACACTTTCGAGGAGTACTGCATATTTAACTTGATTAATGATGATTTGAATTTATTTAACCTGTTCGCAGGGATTTAATTTTTATAGAAGGTAGCTTTAACATATTCATTATCATGTTTATTCATCCTTAGTAAATACACTTCCTTGGTCTTTTCAGTATATGTAGCCATTCGTTTCTCTTAATTTTCTTTCTGCTTGTCTTATTACATAAACAGTTCTCTTTCACGTCGAGGTTCATAGTTATTCAAATTGATTCTTTTCTCTATTATATGCATGACGCAATAGGAATAAAATAAATAAACAATGGCAACATTTTTCTTTTGCATTCTTTGTGTTGCATTATCTTTGACTCTTTCTTCACATTTGTGTGAAAAAAGAGCGTTGTTTTCCAACGATTTGTGTTGATATGAACGGTTCTGGAACATTGGTATGTGTTGAAAATATACATATTTCATAACCATGACTTTTCCAGCATGATGTATTGAATTTTTTCAATCGTGTTACCTCGTGTCGTATGTGAGGCTAAAAAAAATTTCACGTAAACACCCACAGATTGATATTTACACCGAAATTCTGCATCACTGACTGTCGAAGAAAAAGAAAAGAAAAAAACTGTTTTTTGTATTTTGTTCCTCGTTGATGTATGAATGACGTTAACCACCAGTGGTTCACACCGCCGCGAATGCGTTAAATGAACAGAAAAATGCCAATCCTACAGTCTTATTTCTTTCACATTCATCCACATGCATACCAACGCTCTTATTAGATGCCAGCTCTATATTTTAGCTTCATCATTGAAAATACGTAGAAGCCTTTTCTTTTGGCATTGTTTTGAATACATAAACAAGTGTGTGACAATTGAAGTACACCGCATAACTTAACTTAGATTTGTTTTTTTTTTCTGTATTTTAACAATTGATATGAAGCTTTAGTTTTCTCGACTTAACACTTAATTAAAACGATTTCATTGAGCAAATAGTGGATTATTTTGAGTTTTTTATCACTCAGATACAGGTACATGATGACATGATTCAAATTATATTCAGGAAAGCCTCAAATAACTGTCGAACAACCTTAGCAGCACTAAACTTTGTCCTCATCGTAGAAAAGAAAAATCTTCCTGAAATATGTTTGTTTCGTAGACAGACGCTCTTGAGCAAGAAAATTTCTCAATGATTTTTCTATTCTGTTATCAGAACGAAACATCACATTCATCAAATCAATAAAGGATTATTTGAGATTCTTTTTGGGATACTTCCAATAGTTCTTTGCTTTCTATTTAGAATAGTGAAAGCAATCAATGAAACAAAGCTGATGGTTTCATTTCCATTAGCTTTTAATTTCTAGAAAAATAATGTCTTCGACAGCTAAAATATCTCATCTCCTTTTCTTGTTCAGAAATAATTATGGACAACAACATTGAAATAGCTGCATTAGGACGACCTTTTCAATTGGGAAGTCTCTNCTATTCCAAGTGCATGTGTTTTTGCAGTACATGTATCTTCTGTGACAAGTTGATAATCAGTAAATGGATACTGAGTTGATTTTATGGGATGCTGATGAATTGAAAAAAAACATAAAATCAACTCAGTATCCATTTACTGATTATCAACTTGTCACAGAAGATACATGTACTGCAAAAACACATGCACTTGGAATAGAAGCTGAACTAAAATTAGGAGTATTAAATGGATTAGTATCTGTATCGGGCGCAGCTAAATATGTTGATGATCAAAAAACATCAGGTACACAAGCACGTGTAACAGGAAAATTTATAATGCTAACACAATATGACGAATTAACAATGTCTCATTTGGCAGAGAAAAAAATCAAATATACAGATGTTCTGAATCATCCAGAAATAAGTGCAACACATGTTGTTACTGGAATCCAGTATGGTGCTGATGCGTTTTTTATTTTTGATCGAACAGTATCCAGTGACGAAAATCATAAAGATGTACTAGGTGAATTAAAAATATCCGTCGAAAAAATACCAAAATTGACAGTGAATGCTGGTGGAAAATTCAATTTCAATGAGAATAATAAAGAAACGAGTGATAAATTATCATGTAAATTTTATGGTGATTTTGAAATTGATTCTATTCCGACAACATTCGACAATGCCGTTAAACTGTATTGTGAATTACCAAAGCGAATCAAGAATAGTGATGGAATTTGTGGTGTTCCAAAAAAGGTATGGCTTCATCCATTGAAAGCATTTTCACAATATAAAATAGCAAAGATTGTGCATAATATATCGTCTTGTTTAATTGATTTGTCTGTAAACCGAATCGAAAAACTACAGGAACTTGAAACCAAAGCAAACGATTTAAAAAATCAATTTTCAACATTGATGGATGAGTTTTCAAGTATTAAAATACAACTAGACCACTTTACTGCTCGACTATTAGAATTCGAACGTAAATACAAAGAAGATATACGAATTTTATTACCTAAAATACGTGGTGGCGAAGAAGAGTCATTAGCACTCGACAGACTTTCTCAAAAAATTGATATCTCCCCTTTTAATACTCAAAAGCTTGAATCATGGCTTGCTTCAAAAGAAAAAGAATTAGTAGTTCTGCAAACATGTGTATCAACATTGAAAGAAGAAAATATCTCAATAGTATCTATTCCGATCCAGAGTATTATTAGTGATATTCGATATGATTTTCTTTGTAATTTATGTTTTCATTTTACAGAATTAAATGAGCCACAGATTTCTCAAATGTTTGATTATCTTTATTCTCAATCTGAAATTAATAGTTTATCTACTACTTATGCAACTACCGACAAAGTATGGTACCAAAGTCCAGATATTATTAATAAGATTCGGTATGAATTATGCCAATTTATTGGATTTGCTAAGGTCAACAAAACAAAACCCAATATACATTTTTTCGTCAATGAAAGTTATGCAGACGATTATAATCATGAGAAAGGGGCATCAGTTATGTTATATAAACATGGAATGCTCGATGTATCATTTCAAATACCATCTCAACCTGGTATTCCACATCCAATTGTCGTTACATCTAATAGCATAACATTGGAATGGAGTAGACCCATACATGGCTATAAGAATGTAACAAAATATAAAATTTCATATTATATTCATCAAAATGAACAAGATACTAAGAGAATTAACAATTGGAATGAAATCGTCACTGATTCAATGGTTGAATCGAAAATAATTTCAAATTTATCTGAAAACACAATTTATGTATTCAAAGTACAAGCTGTTACAATAGCAGGTGAAAGTGTGGCTAGTGATATTAGTTGTCCAATTGAAACTCCCCGTTTACCAAGAGAAAAAACTGCAAGCAGCTTGGACTCTAATGTAAAAATAAGGAAAAAAATTCAAAGAAATGGATATCCAGATATTCACGAAGTAGGATATCAACAAGAAATAATTAATCAAAATTTGTTATTACGTAAATGTTTTATCGGTGAACGGACTTTATTAAATGGATATCATCCACCGGAAAAGATTATTATGATAGTTGGTGCGACAGGAGCTGGAAAAAGTACAATGATTAATGCAATAGTTAATTTTTATTATGGAATACGATGGAAAGATGATTTTCGTTTGAAATTAATTACAGAAGAAGATGAAGGAATCAATGGAATTGCACAAAGTCAAGTTAAAAGTCAAACTAAATTTATTACTGCTTATACACTTTATTATCAAGTTGGTTGTCCTGTACAGGGTGGTAAATAATATTATTCCAGGGGGGTAACACTATGATCTCGAATCGGAGATATCATGAATTTTATACCAAATGAAAGCTCGTGAAAAATGGGGTTTAGTGATAGTAAATA